TGGCGCCGATTGCTTAGTATCGGTGATCTATCTGCACAATTGGCCGGCCTACATATATTTTTTTTAATTTATGTCAAAAACCTCAATCTATTTTCCGTCAATTCAGTCGTGTGGTGACACTAAAACATAATATGTTTGTCAACATCATTATTCTTCGAGTTGGTATCATGAGAACTGACTGAGTTTTATACATTAACAAAGACCGGGGAGCTGCGCTCACTGACACACGATGTGCACAAGGTGTACTCTGAACCCTTTAAAATAATAATATGATCTTTAATACGCCTGCCAACCATGAAGATTATGGTAAACCATTTTAGAATTCATAGTTATCATAACGGCTAATAATGTCTTACACTTCTACGCGAATAAAGTGATAGCTACAAAACACAATACCCACAAAATACAGAATTGAAACATTCATATTTCGCTGCGAATACTGAATACCTAAACAGTTTATCGGATCACTTAAAAAGGCTACGTTCGCTCTGACCGTGGTGTTAAATGAATTTGCGTAACTGGCTCGCATCGCATATGAAACACTGTGTGACAGCATCGTTTAACTCAATCCCTCCGACTGTTTGTGCTGTAAATTCCAATTCCATTTGATTCTCTTCGCTTTTTTGATGAACTTCTGAACAAAGGGTTATGTTAGATTGTGTTTGTTATTGAGGTGCTAATAAAGTTATGAGTATTACGGAATTAAATCTCGTTTCGAATGCTCAGTTTGAAGTCTTAATTGGAGGTCGTTCAAGATTTTTTGAGGTCAAATGTGTTCAGTACTTTTGGTTCTAGAAATTGTTAATCCCTTGTAGGTTCATAGATAAACCAAGTCATGTTATTAGATGTTTGTCTCATGCTATGGAGCTTGAGAGGAAGCATGGGCTTAGCTAATTGGAGCATTTGAATCCGTAATTTAAACTGTCAAACACCAAGCGGTCACCGGTGACCGCAACCTATTGTTCTATAATTGTGTCTACAAAACCGGTACTCGACGACCGAACTACATCAGAGTTACGGACTTTTGGTCAGAGCAACTTTGGGGATGAGACTTGTGATGATCTAATCTATCGATAAGAATTTTCTAACTATTCTACATGCGTGTGACCCATGTAAAACAAGAGTCATAAGACTTGTGTATAATGTTTGGGATGACGCCTGTGCTAGATATACAATGGGGGTGGTCTTAACTGTGTGAACTTGATCATTGTTTTTAACGAATCTGTTTGACGAGGAACTCGACTAGTTGCAAGCGATCTGCGACGTAACATGAGTAATCCGAAAACATAATAATTCATCAATGGTCATTATTAATTTCCAGGAGCCTATTAAACGTGTACTCGTTCATCGACCCTGAGCGCGTCGGTGTGTGGGGCTGGAGTTACGGCGGGTTCGTGTCCACCATGATGCTCATACACGACGACCACCACACGCTCAAATGCGGCGCTGCCGTGGCCCCCGTCACTTCTTGGCTTTACTATGGTGAGGCATTATTTCATTATCATTAGGAGAATCTTCATATAACCTGTGTATTTTATATCATACTAGCGACCCGCCCCGGCTTCGCACGGGTGCAATATGCATGTATTATACATACAAACCTTCCTTAAGAATCACTCTATCTATTAAAAAAAACCGCATCAAAATCCGTTGCGTAGTTTTAAAGATCTAAGCATACATACGGACATACAGCGAAAGCGACTTTGTTTTATACTATGTATTGATATATTTTTTATAACTAAAAACTTTTTGATCACACGTCCTTCAAGATTTTCCTTAATATTAAGGTCATCAGTAAGTTTACATCAAATTAGTTTAAATGTTTATATTTTAAATGGATCTGTTCGTCATCTTCCAAAGTAAGTTAAAGATCACAACACACTCAACTATGTAGTACGGCTCTGTCACGGCATTTTTGCTATGGAAACAATACAAAAAGGTAGTAAGCGTGCTGTCGGCACGCGGACGTCGCGCTTACCGCTTTTTCATATAGACGTTATGAAATATGTCATCTATACATATAAAAATCGTAGAAAAGTGAAAACTGTACATTGAATATTTTTTTTAAAGAATACTTGGGGCGTGATCTAAATACGGTTTTAAATATTTTGTCTGTTTATCTGTTTGATTATTACTAACCGGTTGCGTCGGGTCAACATATAGGCTATATTATATCAAATTATCACCTACGGGGTATGCGCAGTAAATCACTATTCCACGTGAACGAAGTCGCAGGCACAGCTAGTATGACATAAGATGTAATGTTCAAATTTCAATGACAAGTTAATTGGCGAGTTGGAGCCGTCTCAGTTAAGTCTGCTATGACCTTCAAGTTGACACTACATTCACAGTTACATATGTTATTTGAACTTTCATACTCCTACTGTCGAAGTTTTTAAGACAACCAGAAACGATAGCATTATTTATTCTTTGATGTCACTCATCTTATCAATAAGTATCTTTACTTTCAGACACAATGTACACAGAGCGCTACATGGACACGCCGCAAGCGAACCCGATAGGTTACGAGCGCTCTGACGTCATCCGTCAGGCGGAGAAACTGCGCGGGCGCAAGTACCTGTTAGTGCATGGTACTGACGATGACAACGTGCACTTCCAGCATAGTATGTTGCTTGCCAAGCAGCTGCAGCATAATGATATTGACTTCCAGCAGATGGTAAGAAAATATACTTTCGATATCAGTCTACAATGGTCTAACAATTGTTTAATTACCAGAATGTCTGGCTTCAAGTCTAGAGAGTATAGAATCAGCTAGTGTCAAACCATTGGGCATTTAATTTTTGCTACATCTTTTCGCTACATTAATGCCACCTGTTTTTTTTTTACTTTTCTGTTAGTAGAGATAGTAAAATATGTTTTTATAATAACTATCGTGAGACATACTAAATTAAGTAAAAACGCGGGTTACTCACGTGAATATACTGAGAAAAGCTCTACTAGTTTCGAACCACAGAGGGCGACGTCGCGCAGCTCACTCTGACGAGTGAGCTGCGCGACGTCGCCGCGACCGCGCACGCTGCTCATGAGGAAGAACCCCTCTGTGGTTCGAAACTAGTAGAGCTTTTCTCAGTATATTCACGTGAGTAACCCGCGTTTTTACTTAATATAGTAAAATATCATTGGAAGCTAAACCTTAACAGGTATTCTTTTCCATTACTTAATTAACTGCCCGGTTGGTGCGGTGGCTGGGCAACCGGCTGCCGCGCAACGTGTCGCTGGTTCGATCAATTGTTGTTCCGGGTCTGGGTGTCATGAGTATGTGAACTTGTATGTTTGTAAACACACCTACGACACAGGAGAAATCTAAATTACAATTAAGTACTTCCTATTCTGCCGGTTGGCCGAGTGGTCGCAAGTGCGACTGCCGGGCAACAGGTCGATTCCCGAGTCGGGCAAAGTATTACTGGGTTTTTAAATAAAAATTCAGTTGTAGCACAGAGTCTGGAATTATGCTCGGTATTTGGCAATAGGCTCACCCCCTATTACATGGGATTCATAACATAAATAGTGAAAAGTGGGTGTTACATTGTACAGTGGCATTTAGTGCCGTAATATGCACCTCTGGTTACCCCGTCAGGGATATAAGGCGTAATGTTATATTCTTATTTTATATTTTCTAAAGTTAGTAATCGTATCGTGTCTATTCACAGAGCTACGCGGACGAGAAGCACTCTCTACTGGGCGTCAGTCGACATTTCTACCACATGTTGGATCACTTCTGGACTAAATGTTTCGAGTGCTAGTGACCGTGACTCCTCGACTACAAGGAAGTCACTCAGTGTTGTATAGCTCATGGACTATGACTCTTAATTCATAATAGTGATCTCTTTACTCGAAGAAATATCGCGATATAATGACGCTCGAATTCTATAATAAGTGAAATGAAAATATATTTTTATTTATAAAGATACGCTTAAGAACAAATTGTTGTTTTATTTCCTTTCACAGCAAAACAATGCGGTGCGGTGGAAAGCATTAATATTTATGTGGTGGTGGAAGTAGACCGTTCCTTAATTCTGGGAATCGTTGAGTAATGTTAAGAAAACGTACTTTATATTTGGTTATTATAGTGGACTGTGCGCTTCACACGTACCTTTCTGCCTCGCACAGCAAAACTATGGAATGATCTGTCGTCACCGGTATTTCCGAACCAATACGACCTTCAAACCTCCAAGAAAAGAGCGTATTCCTTTATAAAAGGCCGGCAACGCGCCTGCGACTACTTTGGTGTTGCGGGTGTCCATGGGCGGCGTTGATCGCTTACCATCAGGTGATCCGACAGCTCGTTTGCCTCATATTCCATAAAAAAGTGGGAACAATTATTCGGTGTAGTAAATCTAGCAAAGTTTGTGAAGTCTAGCAATTAGTGTTCTACAAAAACAATGTAGAAGAAAAATCAGTGCGGCGCCAGTTCGGTCCCGTTGCCCTGCCAAATAAAACATTAACTGTTTCGCTTGGTCTTACAAAGGACGCGTTACTTTACACATGTCGTACGATTTATATTCTGCGGTCGACTTCTGTGTACAAAGATTTTATTGTTAGTCGTTACTTTAGTTAAAAGTCGTATTTCTTTGATGGGGGTTTTAGCATTTAATTTCAAAGAATGGTTGAAATTAAGGGATTATTGCTATTGGCTAATAAAATTAAGAATGCCTAGACTTCATGTAGATTCTTCATTGTTCAAACGAGTTGAAATAGACGGACTTCAACGACCTTTGGAAGAATATGTAATAGTTATTTAAGTAAATGTACCTTCCTAATAACATAAGTATACTCAGGAACTTTGCTCTTTTTGTGTAATTACTTTTGATAGAGACTATAGGTAGGTAAGTTATTAAAAACTTCTTTCAAAGTTCTATAATACTAATTAATCTACGTCACAATAATGTATTATCCAGGAGTATTTATGTTCTGTGTCAATACCTGTCACTGTAGAATTTGAAACCATCTATATTTACAAATTAGCCATGTAACGAGAAAAAAATTAAATAAAACCCTTTAATTTTTTTGAACCTACACAATGAAAATTGTTTGTAATTTATTAGTGAGAAGACTACGGCTGCAGACTTCAATTGCTTCGATTCGATGGTATATTCTTAAAAATATTTTACAACTACTCTTATCAAGAGATATCGTGACATTATCGAAGATGTTTCTCAGGATAACCCTATCATTATTACTGTAGATGATGGTAGATATTTTAATTACTTAGTTAGGTAATTAGTATGATGGCTTGATTTCAAATAGTAGGTTGTAATGGTATATAGCGATACTTCAGCTTGCTTCCTTGAGCTTGAGAACGAAAGGCAACAGACTATATAATCTTACAGTAAAATATACTGTACTATGGTACTGTAAATTCACCCAGAATTTAATATATATTTGTTGTTCCATAGTGAACCATGGCTTAAAAAGCTAACGTTAAATACATATTCATACCTAAGCAGAAATGACTGACTGCAGGAAACTACATTTGCTTTGCATAGATTTCCATAGAACTGCGACAAACTGAGCGTTGTATATTATTGTCTTATTCAAGCGACTTGTTTGTATGAATGTCTGTCTGCTGTGAAAACAAAATTCTTACTCAACATTTAAATTGTTACATTCAGGTCTCAATATAATATTAAGATGTACCTACTGTTAAAATATATTTATAGGAAGTCGTCGACCGCAAGCCCGGCCGCTGATAGGAAGTCATCGATCGCAAGCCCGGCCGCTGTTAATGATTGTGGACCAAACTTAGAAGACAGAGCTTTATGTGCAATTGACCCATGTGACGTGAACAAATGCTACGCAGCGCCCCGTGTCGTCATCATAGGCGCGGGTATGGCCGGTCTGTCAGCCGCGGCTCGGCTCGCCCAACGTGGAATCAACAACATTGTCGTGCTGGAAGCATACGAGAGGTTCGTATGACAGGAAAATGTCTGTTTCTTAATTTGTAGATGTTGTCTCCTATGGGTACATTAGTTTACCACTCTCTATCTTTTTTTATTCTAGACCCGGTGGTCGAATTCACTCTTGTTGGCTCGGAGACATTGTTGCTGAACTAGGTTCTCACTGGAAACCAGACAACGCTTTCACGCATCCTATTTATACGATGTCAGCTACCGAAAGTCCGCCCCGACCTGGTGTCCCCGGCTCTGAACATACTCGTGGCCTTTTTAACAGAATAGTTACCGGCAAAATGCCGTATCCCGCCACAATATCGGCATACCACAAATTTCGTCAGATTGAACAGGAAGCGGCGCAAATATACTGCCTCGGTGGTAATAAACAAGCAGGCTCACTAATGAACTTTATGAGTCTGAGGATTCAACAAGAACTGCACGAGTACCCTGAAGATCAACAACACGACGCAGCTAGAATAATGTTCGGTCTCTCGCACATGCTCAGTGCGCGGTGTGGGGATGACACGGCGATGCTGTGCGCTGATCATGTCGGATGCTTCATGAACATGCCCGGCGGCGAGGTACGTGTACCGCTGGGCTTAGTTGGGATATTGGCTCCGTTGTTGCGACAAATACCAGAAGGAGCAATTCGTTATTGCAAGCCAGTTAATTGTGTTTACTGGGGAACATCACAAAAAGAAGGTTACCGAGCCACCGTATGTACTACAGATGGGGAGGAATTTCCATGTGACTACGTCATAATTACGGTGTCCCTCGGAGTGTTGAGTGCTAATGCTGTCAAAATGTTCTGTCCTGCGCTACCAGCATCAAAAATTGACGCCATGCGATGCCTTGGATTCGGCTATTGCAATAAAATTTACATGGAGTATTGTCGTCCTTTCTGGTTTTGGCATAAAGGTAATCTAAATTTTAAATTCAGCTGTAATGAATTATGTGATCGTTGCGACTGGACTCGAGGTATAACTTCGATAGAAGTGGTGCCAAACAGTAAACATGTGATGTGTGCTTGGGTAGTTGGCAATGAAGCTATGATGATGGAATCCCTTTGCGACAAGGATATCGCGGAAGACTTAACCGAAATATTGCGGTGGTCAACGGGGAACATGTGCTTACCATACCCCATGACAATTTTACGATCACATTGGACTTCCGATCCGTTTTTCTTTGGAGCTTATTCTTATGATTGTTATGGATCCGATGGGGAAGCACAGCGGGCTTTGGCGTGTCCACTGCCCGGCCCAAGTGAACCTATACCTCCAGTACTATTGTTTGCTGGTGAAGCGACAGTACCTGGTCACTACGCAACTGTGTCTGGTGCTCGACTGAGTGGCGTGCGAGAGGCTGAGAGAGTGGTACATTTAACGCTGCGATATAAAGGTCCGCCTTTGCCCGCTGCGGTTAAAAAACCAAAGAAGAAAAAGAAGAAAAAGAAAAGCGAGAGTAGGTGGTGAAAACTATTATACTTATACCATAAGCTCGTACTTTATCCCCTTTGTCCCCCTGTCACAGATTGAGAAATATATGTAAAGTTTCGCGTAACGCTTGTGTTTTACTCCTTTAATATTTTCATTCGGAACTCATGTCTACGGAATAGCTAAGTTATCTCTGACAAGTTGCGCGAGACTCGCTGGTGGCTGTTGTTAGTTTTGAAACTATAATGATACTCAACTTGTTTGATGTCCCATCTTATCTCGGTTTGTTCGTGGTCTGTGATGAAAGCAAAGTCATGTGTATACATACAACTACACGTCCGTGAAGTTACGACGTATTTGTACTTTTTGTATAGGAATTTTACAAAACAGCTCAGCGAAATTGTGGTTTATTTATTAAAAGTAAAAATATTTAGATTACAATTTACATTCGCTGACCATTTTATAAGAAAACCTCGAATTTATCTAATATTTTCAGTCAGCATTCACAAATCTGGTTGAAACTAGCCAAAATATGCGATAAATAAGTTTAAAATTCGGCCCACATAATCTAACAACATACTACCTAAATCTGGTATTGGCAAAACGGTCGGTATTCAAACAATTTACATAGGTTTCGAACGTCATACATAATGGCTGGAGAATCTGGCTGATTGAGCTATTGTTCGCTATGTTTGCACATCAAGATTGAATGCGGATGGAGGATATGAACAGATACGGTTTACGATATCAAGAGTTATCTTGTTAGTGCACTGATGCCAGAGGAGCATCGAGCTGGAGGTCCATTTTGACGGTCCTTGATTTGACTAAAGAAAATATCGATGAATATAGCCAAGCTATTTAATATGCAGCTGCTAAGAAGATAAAGATTGATTCATTACAGCGACGGTAATCATATGTACATGTATTTTCTTCATCCATATTAACTTTCACTACTTAAGTATTAATCTTTCAACTGTCGTGGCCGCTTTGCGCCATCTAGCATACCTGTCAGAATACTCGCAGGTAGCACCATGCGATATCGGTACGCGTCATTGAAATGACGATTTCTACGAAGTTTTATATGAAACCTACATAAAAAACGTATGTCGTTGCAATCGTCATGAATTAAGCTGACAGACTGTATGGTTAATAAACTGCTTACCGATTTTTTCCACTTAGTCATGTGAGATTCTGATATTCCTTTGGTTCGGTTGTGTCCAGTATAGTTGAAAAACCCGGAAAAGTCATCGCGCTTTTGCCATGCCATTTATTCTCGATCTCATCCTTACAATTTTAAAATATCAGGCGTCCCTGTTGTATCCCTATTGAGGAAAGTGAATAACTTTAATAAAATTTACGGACGTAGTATCATTACGGCCGAATGCAATATCCTTGCGCTACCATATATACAATACATTCCCTACGTTTAGTTTCCGGAAGAATACATCTCGTCCCATTGTCCCGTCCGTCAGTACATAATGATTTTTGTCTCTTAGAAACTTAGGTTTAAGGTTGTGCCTCGCAGTTACACTATAAATAGAGATGGTAATTTACCTTGAAAAACCTTTTTTAATTTGTACAAAATAGTACAAAAATTTGTCTTACTCGTACGTTAAGTGAAGTGTGTGTACGTTATTCAAAGAAAGGACTGCTCGGTTGGCTGCTGTGCAACGTATAGCGAGTTCGATTCCCGCACGGAGCAACTCTTTGTGTGATCCACAAATTGTTGTTCCGGGTCTGGGTGTCATTAGTATGTGAAATTGTATGTTTGTAAACGCACCCACGACCACGACACAGGAGAAATACCTAGTGTGCCTGTAGGGCAACGTTCTTATAAATAAAAAAAGTAACAATACCTACACAAGTTTCAAACTTAAAATATGATTTCCTTTTGTTGATAGTTCAGTTCCTGAAAAAGTTTGTCTTATACAAAAAGTATCCCACTCCAGTGAAATACGCGAGAAGGTACTTAATAGCAAAGGTGAAAATACAAGAAAATGCTAGTCCCTACAGCAATAATACTCGTGTGAGTGGAATGTTTCCTCCGTCAGACTAGGTAACGTAGTAATCTAGCTAACTAGAAATTCTTCCAAACTAACTCAATTACTTGCCATGGAGGGCGCCACCTCCGTGTTAGGGGTCGTGGGTGCAATTTTATCTGCAGACATTTTTCATCAGATCAGCTGTTGAATAGAGAAGTGCAACATTAATATCAATAAAGTTTTCCTTTTGAAACGTTTTCCTGTTTCCCTCCTTTTATATTTCACCGAGGAAGCTAAAGTGGAAATGATAGACAATCTTTTTGATATGATTTTGTTTGAAATTTGTTAAGGTAATTTAGATTTATTTTAAATGTTAGTATTTTAGTTATGTAATGGTGAGGAGGTAGTGTGATAGTGTGCTGCTGTGCACCTAACAATTCCGGACCGACATAACATGTTTGTTTTTTTTTTATTTTGGAATTTTCAGTGACTAACAACAATACAAAGTCGAAATGTTATGCTCGAATTTAGTTCAGAAGTTTGCTCGTCGCTAGTTCAGTTCGGTGTGTACTTATTAAGCTTTATCAAAATATTTTCAGTACATAATTTGGAATATTTATCCTTCGACTTATTATCTAATTTTATTTTATATACATGCTTCTTTTTATTGCATGACCAACGTCGGCTGCATTACAAGAATATTGTCAAATTCTACGAATTGCTTTCGCCGTGATTGATTTTCGCGATACTGCCTGGCTACAACAATCGCTTCCAGAGCTTTTTGATTGTACGTCACTTTATTGAAAACAATCGATTGGCACCGATATTCAGTTTATCGAGGAAAAAGGTCTTTCATCGGATTATTTTATAGAAAATCTACTGTGGCAGCCAAGAAGGACGGACCGGGAAATGTAAACATGTGAATGTTTTTACTTAAGTTCAAGTTGTAGCTTTCCTTATAGGTCTATGTTTTTTACTAATACGTACTATAGGTGACACTGAAGTAATGCGTCTACAAGAATGACTGAAAATAGGTAACAAATTTGTTTGTGTTTCTAGAAAAAAATCAACCAATTTTCCGCATTAGTAGTGACCTTCGCAATGACCATCTAATATCTAATAGTTCGGCTCTATTGAGCTTTACGGATGTGATGCGAAGAATTTCGTGGAGGGCATTAACACCGTCGCAATGAGCGGGGTGCGCGCGGCCCGAGCCCGGCGAGCACGTCTCTGCAGATGGCGGGCTGCGGGAGCACGCAAGAAAGCGTCGAGACAGATGCGTGACGCAGCGCGCAGGACCGCCCCCCCGCCCCGCGGTGCGTGCCGCGCCCCGCGGTCCCTGCTCCGCGCGACACATCTCACAGAACACATCGATAATCGCGTGGTGCGTGAGCCCGCTGCGGCTCGGACTCGGGGAGGTAGTGAGCAGCGCGCGGCCGGCGTGTGCCGGTGCAGGCGGTGCGTGGCGCGCGCGTGGCGCGGGCGGGGCGCGCGCGTCGGCCCGGGCGCCAGTCGCTCGGAGGCAGGCGGGCGGCTCGCGTCGCCCTGCGCTCTCTTACTGCACCGCTGCAACGCTGCGCTCGCGAACTCGCGACAAGGTACGCGACGCGGCACCACACCGCACGCTGCACATGTTACACATTACATTCGAACATTTTTCATTCATCTTTTCGTAGTTTTTTGCTTTATTGTCGTTCGAATCTTAATTCGCGAAGGAACCTTCTCGGGCCGCGTATATTGCCTTAAATTATAATAAAACATGCAACGGTTACTTTGAAAATCATTTTGATACGCCGTACAAAATTTGTTCTGGTAAGTAAAAATATTAAATATTTTCTACGACTTCCTTAAGGCTGTAACGAAATAGAAACAGGCATGCGTAAGCTCTCTAATGGCAGCCGAATTATAATGCGAAGCTGAGAGAAAAAGAAAATGTTGTGGAAATTAAATTTTCTTTTATATTTGTAAGGAAAAAGGGAATTATTGTAAATGTCATTAATTTTATAATGGTTTCGAGACGCAAAGACTGCGCTTCGTTTTATCTTAGAAGATGTCATGAGGGAGAAAACAGCAAAAGCACTGGCCTGTTGCCAAATGTCGACCGCGGCACACATCTTTCAGTAACAAAATATTTTAGAAATATCAAACATAAAATGTCTGAACATTTAAATGTACGTAGTGGACTGAGAATCTACATTCTCGATAACACGAACACTGTCATCATTTGTACGTGTGATAAATGAACGAGCCGGGAGAGCACCGCGGCGTGTACCCACCTGAGATAACTAATTACAAGTTAGCTCTACTTTCAGATACTACATTACATTTTCCACTAGTGTTTCACTGAAATATCACATTAATTATGTGGTTCCATTTTTAAATATCTTCTACATCGTTAGATATTTCTAAAATATACATTTTTCGCGAAAATGTTAATAACGGAAGAATAAATCTCTAAAATGGCGACCTCAGGGAAAATGTAATATTTTCAGGGCGTTCATTTTCATTTCAGTCGATTTTCTTTCATGATTATTTCTTTGGGATGTGACGCTCCATTTTACGATCCAAATTATGATAACGTGTTTGATGACAAACTTGTAGATAGATAACAAGACGTCTGTCGCCGTGTGGGGTTGAGTTCTTTGGTGATAATGGTTTTTTGTAATCTGTGACTATTGAGCATATTTCTAATTAATTCATTTAAATAAATGTCCTATTTTCTGTGTGATATGTATGATATTTCAGTATCAGTGTAGGAAGATGTATAGGAATGTAAGTAGTATGTAAGGAGCGCGTCTCAGCCCTGTCACCCCGTGGCGAATATTTGGCACGCGTCATCCCCATGTTGCGGGTATCTTCAACATTTTCTTGTTTTATATTTTGGCTGAGTGCTGCCTTGATATCTCTTATTGAACGTAACGCAAATTGCTTCTGGTTCTTATTATTTGTAAGAATAAGAAATATACTATTACTAATATACTTCTATGAATGTATCGTTTGTTGATTAAAAAATTATAACACGAACCGTTTATTTGCTCAGCCTGGTCAGTAAATTGC